ACGACCACGAGCTGAGGGACGATTGGAAGAATATCAAACGTGCGGAGGAGCGAAGAGCGCCAGCTGCCATCGTCAAAAACAGCGCAGCAGGATTATCTAGTACCGTCGCAGTCACGCATAGGTGGCCTTCACCAAGGCGATGGCTCGATGACCCTCAGCAGCACGCCCCTGGCCCAACAGGCGAGGGTGATCGACAGTGCCAAGGGAACCATGGAGGCCAACTGCGAGCATGCCGAGATCCACCAGCAGCAGACAAGGATCTACATTAACGAACTTGTGAACAACGCCGAGAAGTTCACCATCCTCCAGCGCTGCATCAGCAACGCCAGAGACGATCGCCACAGTGCAGAAGAAACGCAGATGACGACGCAAATCATCCGCAGAGGAACGTGCCACAAAGAAGAGCGCCTACACCAGCTCCCGCCCCAACGCGGCAAACGAGGGCAGGTGAAACTGGGGGCGGGCGGGGCGCGGGCAAGATGCCCAGGATCCTGAAAGAAGACGTTCGGCGCCAGCGACGAGATCGCAGGGGCACCGGGGGGATGCGGGGCCGATGCCAGCGACGAGATCACCGACCGCAAAAGACACCTCCGAGCGCAGACAAGCTGAGCGGATGCATGAATTTGATCAACGCCACGGGGCGACTAAAGCCGACGAGCACCGCGACGAGCTCGAGGAAGACACGCAAATCGCTAAGCCCGCGACAGCAAAGATGGCTGCACAACATGAGAGAATGCAGGCCACCAGCGCGGAGAATCTCGCAAGGGCGGGGGAGCTGATTGACGGCCCGCGGAGAATGACATGGGACATCGGGCACCGGTCGCGCGCGACAGACGACCCTGAACGACATATAGAACTGCAGAACATGAAGATGGAGCCCACCGACTGCAACCTCCTGCGGGCCGACGTGGAGAGGGATGTCTCGAACGCATAGAACGCAGAAGGACGACAGAAGTACTGCACCGTGACCCTTCTCAGCCGAGGGCCGCGTCGCCCACGTCGAGGGCATGGCGTCCGAAGCCAAGACCAAGGACCAGAGTTGCAACAATACCTTCAACAGAAATGGGGCGATGCAGGAGGAGGAAGCCGACGGGCGAAGGAAGAGCTACTGGAGCAAAACAGGTGCACGGATGCCACCGCCCACGTGGCCAACGAGGGATGCCAGCAGAGTGCCGCCAACATCGAGCGCGACATGTGTCGAGCGACGCTGAGATCGCGAAGCAGCCAGATGGGCGCCCCCTAAGGTCCATCACCGACGTGCAGATATACGAGCAGCAAGAGAATTACGAAGCTTGACACGCTCGCACTACGGCGCTCTGAGATGGGCACAGCAGACAAATGCGAGACTTCCCAAGGCAAGATACATGCGCACCGCCACGTGGGGACACAGTGGAGAACCATCAAGGGCACGCGCGAGGGACGGGCCGTCGTCGCGAATTTCCAAGCGACCCCTCCATTCGCCGTGCCATTGTTCACGGCAGCCGAGCCATTCAAAGGCGAGGGATCCGAAGAAAAACCATGGGGCCGCGCGCAAGGCCCAACGTTGCAACGTCAACGCAGGCAGATCGCCTGACTGCGCCCAAGCCCCGAGCCACAAGACTAACATCACCCCGGCCTCCATGAAAAAACAAGTCTGCAGCTGCAAACAAGATACCTCCAGTAGGATTCTAAGAGCCGGCCAGAAGGCGCGCACCCCAGGAACGCAGCGACCTCTGGGAGGACCGGTTCGCGTCGCCCAGCACTGCCACAGCGGCCATCGACGACAGGGGAATTTGCAGGGGCGCATGGGAACGAATTACTTCCCACCACCAAGCAAAACGCATAGATGCACCTGCTCGATCGAGATCGCCAACGGCGAAAATGCAGGCCACTTGGCGACATGGAAGACCATCGGCTCGTGGATCTACTACATGAGGGACGGGAAAGTGGCCGCCATCACGACGGAGCGCTGCAAGGGCCCGCTACAGTCTAGGCGCGAAGTACCAGCTATGACCCCATACGGAGCCGAGATCAATCATGGTGACTGAACTACCTGAAGTGAAAGAAGACAAACCAGACCGACATCGGCAACCAGGCCCTTTGCACCGCGATCTTCACGTTGCACTTCGCATGCGGAGCTGGCATGCCTGCCATCGCGGAGCATCTTGAGACAGAGCGCGACTTGCAGGCAGATGCCGAGCAGTCGGTTGCTACCTCAGCTGCAACATCAACTGCGCCGACCCAGCGTGCGCATGGTATCCTTCGATCAGCGCTTGCTCGAGCAACTCGCGCGCAAACCGAATGGCCTTCTCGCAATTCGAATACCGGGGCTACCCGCGCGCGTGCCAGCGAAGCCCAACCGATGCAGAGGCAACCACGGGCATGGGGCCCATCCACCAGTCCTGTGGCGGAGCGAAGATGGGGCATGGCGCAGCGCCGCCGCCGTGCTATGCCCAGCGGAGTTTACAATGGCATTCGTATCCTTGCTCCCCGAAGCGATTCGGGACAGATTGCCCGCGCCGCCAGCTATGCGGCCGTCGAGTTCCGACCGTTTGGGAGTAATTGGCCACTCGCGCGGCCCGCGCACGTCGGGGCGTGCTCCTCGATGTGCCCTGGCCCACTAGACAATTCAGCAATGCCTATCAGGGGTTCTCGCGCGCCTGACCTGAGAGGGGGCTAGCCCGCCAGCCGACCGCCACCGAAATGATCAAAAAGCAGGGGGGGCCATCTATGCCAGTACGCCGCGGACGCACGCACGCACCATCACCCTCTTCCGCCCCCCATCACAAACGGCGCAGATGCTGCTACCGCATCCGCTATGGAACAGCCTGAAATGCAGCCAGCAGCCGACCTAGCACGGGATCGATATCCCGGCATCAGAATCGAATATTGCATCATCACCACTAATTAGAAGAACTCCAACCTCGATCCGAATATCGTTCGCGCACCCGACCAACTTGAACCTCTCCGAAGGGGGTAAAGGGACCTATCGGCGCGAGACGCGGAACGAGCACCATAATTATGTCAGCGCTCGCGCCGCGACATCGCACCTGCTCCGGCTTCCGAATTCCAACAGGAGGGCTTGCCAAGGTTATCACAGGGCCAAAACATGCGAGCTCGAGCCGAAATTCTGGACTACAGCCGCGGCGCGGGTCCCTGACCGTGCACGAGGAGGCAGTCCGTCCGAGCCTTGTGGAAGGAGTGCACTCACCCGTCCCTGGAGGCTGGACAAGTCTACATCCCGACCAGACCCCCAAGGGGATGGATGGAGACCCCCTGCCCGCACCACTACAAGCTCGCCTACCTGGTTGCCACCCACGAGCCTTGGCAGAAATCTACCGCGGAAATGGCCGACACAGCGATGCGCGAGTCCTTCGACGGGAACCGCACCTCCCCAACATCAGAAAATATGGACCTACACTACGCGGCAAGACCGACCCACACACCAGACTACAGGAAAGCAGCATGGGTGCGCGCCGGCAGAAACGGCCAACCCCAATCTACACAGAGGCGCCGCCATGGGAACAGGCCAGGGGCACGGCGGCGAGGAAATTCATCTCCCTGATCCCCCCGTAGCTGGGCCAACGAGGAAACGAAGTGAGCGACGTCGACCAGATCCACAGGGCGGTGGCCGCGCAGATGCAGGAGAGGGCAGACTTCTACAACGCCGCAGAGCAATCCTCTCGCAGGCCACGGCACCACGCGCATCGTCTTCCACGCGACAGGCCAGAACGGCAACAGCTTGGACCCTGCACATGACGCCTCAGACCCGAGCAGGCCCTCGCGCAGAGGAAGGGGGCCCCGATGACGAACCCGTCCCATTGGTCGAGGTCACCGACCAGGAGCCCCACTACTTGCGGAACTACAGGGTGGTGGACATGTTGCCCATCAACCGCTGCATCGAGATCCAGGAAAGGTGCGAAATACACTTCGGCCCACCCTGCAACGGCTACCCGACATGTCCTGATTTTGAAGGCGCACGATCGCACGCGCCCGGCGACGTTTCCTACGACGAGGGGTCCGCGGGCCACCACGTCCCAACCAACTGGTTGCCGCAAGTAGAGGCGACCAGGATTGCGAGACCGCCGCGCCGTCATCCAGACCCATGGGTTGAAACAGCCAGCATACTTGACTACGGCTGCATGGGGACTTTGGCCGCCGACATGCTCAACCTCACGTCGCACATCACTCCCGACGTCCGACGAGAAGGCCTGCGCATGCTTGGCAAACTGAGGACGTCCTGGCACAACAACCTGGAGGGCGGCGAGGACGACTACCAGGCGGAGATCCAACTCAGAGGGCTTGCAACACGTATCCCCACTAGCACTATCATCCCATTCCACAACAACGCTCAGAGCAAGCTTCCCCAGCGATTCCAATTTACAATCAAGAAGGCAATCACGGCCGATCCGACACACAAGTCTCTCAACCAGGCCCAGTCCTCACCACTGAGGAATCCCCCACTGCCATTCCTCCCACCGGACTATTCGTGCAGGAGCCCGCATGTTTTCGTTGAAGCAAACCGCCGCTCTGCTTGGCCTGGAGGCCTATACCATGAGCACCAAACCATCGCCTACCATTACCACAGCTAAGGACCGCCTACAAGTGCGAAGGCACCGTCTTCATGTGGACTCACCAGGCGTACCACTTCACCCCGGACCTTGGAGAAAAGCACACGAACATATCCAGGCAATGTGCTTCTGCAACCAGGCTGAAAGAGGGCGCTGCCTGCCGAAATGTTGAGTGTTTCTGCGACGCGAGCCACAACGTCATCCAGTGCCCGGCGATGGCCTTGCCGAGCAGGGCGCGGCCACCGCCGCCTCCGACGCCCCCGAGGCAGCGGTCGACATCACCGCAAGCCCGGTCCGTCACAGCCCACATCTTCTTTCGATTCCGCCATCGCGAAGCGCCGCGACGAAAACGATTTTAGCGCCACCGTTGACTGACTCAAGGCGGCATTTGACTGTGTGAGCGACAACGGTGTGACTGACCTCAGGCGCCCCGACACCGACAGCGGCCGCCTCGCGCAGCTCTCCAACCATAACAACAACCTCTGCGCCCAGCAGGGAGTACTCATGGTCACCGCGGAGATCCACGCAGCACAGCCGCACTCCGCAACGACTGCCCGCTCGCATGCCGTAGCATCAGGGAACAGACAGTCAGTTCCGACGGTAACCACGCTGCTACCCGACATTTTGGCCGCCCCGACCACGCAGGGCACGGCGTCCTCCAGCCTCGAGGGATGTAGACATCAGGAGCGATGTGCGGGTTCGCCGCCAAGACCGCGAAACACCAACGGTGGCAACGCCAATGGCGCCAGCGACGTCGACGCTTGCAGCGACCCCCCTGACGCGCTGCAAAGTTCCATCCAGCCATGCTAACGCCTGCGCCCATCATGCAACTGACCCCAGCTGGCGGCGCTGGCGGCAGCGAGGGCGAGCTGCCGAGCACCCCGCAGCCATGGGAGGAGGCACCACCCACGCCAACTCCGACCACCTCGCGGGCTCGCAAGTCGCCCCCCAGATCAACCGCCGCCAGCAATGACAACAGGAGTGAGCACCAAGGAACGCATCCACGCAATTATCGAGCGCTTAGCCGTTCTGATCAGCAGTGGCGTATTCGACCGTGAGAGCGCAATGTCCAAGTAACATGCCCATGAGAAGATCGTGCACAATTTCCACCTGGTGCTCGACCTGGCAGACGCAGCGAAGGCCAACAGGGACACCGCAACGGACCCAGACCTCCGCGTCGAGTGCGGCCAGGTCATTGCGCACGTTGAACGAGCTCCCAACAGATACTGCAAGTCTGACGAGCTGCGGGAGGCGCGCCCCTTCAATGACTCAGCGACGCAGGGATATGGCGAACTACCCCAACTACTACCTGGTCCAGATGCTGAACTTTCCGAAGCACCAATGCCACGACGACATCCCTGAGCCAGCAGAAGTTGCACACCAGATATAGAGACAGCCTGATGGGTATCAAGGTAGCCATGCGACACAACCCTGCAGCCACACCTGCATAATTTCTTGTCGCTGGCTTACACGGGGACAACGCAATCGAGGCAGTGGCCAAGATGGCAGAGCTCATCAACGACCAGACCCCGTTACCCAAGGACGAACCACAGCATCAGCATAATCTGCGGCCGAAGCCCGGCCCGCCGACCGAATTCGACAAGATGCACTTTAGCGACGAGCACAGCAGGGCCGCACCGTTCCAGGGTAGACAGCTGGATCAGCAGCCGCCGACATCAGGACCGAAGGCAGCGGAGCAGACCAACGGCGCCAAACTTGGGGCAGCGGACCGCGATTCCCGCGGACCAGACCGAATGGAGCAGCAGCGCACAGCACCCATCAGGACCACGCCAGAGCAAGCAGCACACCACCCATGACGACTGCAATGCGGCAGCTGCGCTCCACAACAAAGATGCATTGACCACAGCACACAGCGGAACGTGCCCCGCACGCCTCGCGAATGGAAGCCGCTGAAGTTCCAACCCGCAGACGGGCGCCGCGGCATCATCAACCATAACCATCAGCAGGAGACGGACAAGGGGGTCATCCCACCCTTCGGCTCCGACCCGCGTGACCCATTGCGGACCTTTGCCGACGCTGGCAAAGCGAACCAGCGCGACCAGCACGACCCAACTACGGCGAATCAGGACAGTCCCCCTGATCACATACAATATTGAGACAACCCTCGTCATCGGACAGGCCTAACGGCAGGCAGTCAGCTCGCTATATCCTCACATTCCAACTTCGTGCTGCGCAGCAGACAGGACCGCCAGCTGCTTCCTGCAGGATCCAGTAGCTGCGACCATTTTCCCGACGCGTGCGTGCTCATCGCATGACAGAAGCAGCGCAGCTTGTGGTATGGGGTCCCACCCACTCTACGGCAGTACGTACTCGACAGCGTTGACATCAGTGGCGATTGCGATCAGCGTGGGGCCCTTGCGCGTGCACGACAGCTACAGGCATCTCGTGGGCCCCCGAGGGGCATGCTCACCCGCGGCGTCTCAAGGCTCCACCAGACTCCACTCCCCACCGGCTTACCTTTCCGCAGCCCCGCCCGCCCCAACGTTGCCTACATAACCTCATATCTTTCCCCCTCTTTGCGGCGGAGGTGGGTCGTGGGCGGGGAGATGGAAAAGGATACGCCGCCAGCCGCGCGGGCTAGGACCAGGGCGGCTGCGGCTGCAGCCGACACCCATAGCCAACCACCAGGGGGGCACTTTCCCAATTTCCCTCTGTACCCGACTGGTCTGGCCACCATGGTCAGCGAGCCACCGGAACAACTTTGGCAAAACCCGGCCAGCCATGAGGGACTTTCATCAGAGTCAGCGCCCAGCTTCCCCCCGCCTCCAGCATGCATACCGCCTGCGTCCGCCTGCCGCAGCTACTCGGGGAGGACCGGTGGGGGTGCAATTGTGGCGGGGATCGCCACGCCAGCCACCGCCGCGCCCGCCGCCGCCCCAGATGGCAGAAACCACCCTCGCGCGCGGTGGCATCCCCCCAAGCAGCCATCACTCCTGTGATCTGGATACCCTACTCCTGCCTCGGCGGGGGAGTGTCCAATCATGGGGATCATTGCTGCTTCGGGAAGCTTCCTACGCGCAGGGGGCGAGGCATTTCTGCCATCTCCCTTGGCGAGCGTGGCGGGCGATGTTGCCGAACCGCGGCCGCTCCCACGGCGCCGCCGCCTGGAGAGTGGCTCTCCTGGGGACGAGCCTGGCCGCCTGCCACCGGCAGGAGAGCGCAGACCTCCACCGCGATCGGTGCAGACCCCCCCCGGCGGCCCCGAGGCAGACGTGCTGGGAAGCTCGCGCCTGCTCTCGGGCGAGGGATCCCGCCGCCTGCGTCTGCGACGCCTATGGGGTCGTCTATGAGCACATGGGGGGGCCATTGCGCCTTCGCCGTGTGTGGGCGAGGCGGCCACCGTCCACTGTCCACGGCGCGCTTGCCCTCCCACCTCCAAGATTACGATGACCGCCTGCCCCTGTCGCATCGCCCGCATGCTTGCCAGCTTCCACTCCAGGAGCTGGAGGCCCTTGCCCACCGGCCAGTTGACTCGAAGGAGGGGGGGCTGGGCACAGCAACGAAAACACGTGGCGTTAAGGCCCATTTGCCACTTTTCGCCACCGCGGCAACACTGCCGCTTACTTCAGCGTACCTCTCTTTCACTATTGTGATCTTGATGCTGATGTGCTGTATGTCCCCATCCTTCTCCCCTGCCTCCTAATATGCTGGATTTCGGTCCATATTTTTCGATGTTGCTATATTCCCCCAGGGCGTCCCGATTGGGCCTGCCTGGGGAAGCGGTTGCGTCTGATGAATCCATCGCCGTCAGGAATGAGGAGCCAGGAGGAGGAGGAGGAGGAAGATGAGGAGGAGGAGGAAAAGGAAGAGGAGGAGGAGGAGGAGGAGGAGGAGGAGCAGCAGGCGGAGGAAGCGGGGGAGGAGAGGGATGAAGAGGAGGAAGACGAGGAGGAGGATGACGATGGGTGGAAGGGGTTGGAGGAGAGAAGCGATGTTGAGGGGTGGAGTGGCAGGAGAGGAGGAGGAGGAGGAGGAGAGGGGGAGGGAGAAGAGGCGGCGGGGAGGAGGGAGGAGGAGGACAGGAAGGACAGGGATGACCGGAGGAGGGGAAGCTGGACACGCATGAAGAGGATGAGGATGAGGAGAGGGATTATGATGATGTTGATGCTGATGCTGATGCTGATGCTGATGATGATGATGCTGATGATGATGCTGATGATGATGATGCTATGATGATGATGATGATGATGCTGATGATGATGATGATGATGATGATGATGATGATGCTGATGCTGATGCTGATGCTGATGCTGATGCTGATGCTGATGCTGATGCTGATGCTGATGCTGATGCTGATGCTGATGCTGGTGATGAGGAGGAAGGGGAGGAGGAGGAGGAGGAGGAGGAGGAGGAGGAGGAGGAGGAGGAAGAGCAGCAGGAGCAGGACGACTCTGAGGAACAGATGGGTGGCAACGATGCCAACGACGACCGCGACGTTTGCGGCGGCGGCCGCGCCGTCCACATCGACGCCCCTGACGGGGGCGGACCGCCGCCACTGCAGGCCGCCGACAGCTGCGCTCGGCCCCCCCCACCCACCCCCGCGGGGCGGGCGGAAATCGGCTACGCTGTTACGGGTGGCCCTTCGCCAGAGTGACCCTCCCCAAGCATGTTCGCGTCGTATCGGACGGGGTTGGGACGCCGGTAAATCCGTTCCAGAGCGCTGCGAAACGCTCTCAGAGCGTTGCGGAACGCTCCCAGAGCGTTGCGGAGCGCTCTCAGAAGGAAGCGGCGCCCATGACATTCTCTTCAGAGATTCTCGGTTGATCCTCGCCCACATGTATCCTCGTCCTGGCTCCGTCTCATCGTGGGCAACGCTCGCGGCGCAAGATTGGTGCCCCTTCCCGGCCTCTGGGGGCCCTCGCCGGGCCGCGGGGACCGTCCGGCAAGGCCTCGGGACGAGGAGCTGGCCCGGGGGACTCGGTCGGAACTTCGGGGGGGCCTCGTCTGTGGGAAAGGCAAGGCATCGGCTGCCTGGGCTCGGTGCGGCCCTCCGGCGGGGGCCTGCAGCACCGACCTGCGCACTCGGATCTGGCCTGTTCCCACGGCCCTAGACAAGGGCTCCCTCGAGGGCGCGAAGTTATTCGCGCTTCGCGCTTCGCGGTCCTCGTTCCTTCTCCCCCTCCTCCTCGTCCTCCTATTCTCCCTTTGGGAGGGCGGCGCGAGAGCGCGAAGTTATTCGCGCTTCGCGCTTCGCGCAGCGCGAAGCGCGAAGTTGGGAGCCCTAGCTAGATGGATGATCCGCAGGATGTGTGCTGGCCACTTGTTTGCAGCCCCTTTGCATGCCGCCGTTGCGTTGTGCACTGTTTGGCGCGCGTCAGCCACGCCCTCAAGCATCCAGGGGCCAAGGCTTGGTG